ATTATCTAGGAAAGTAAGTATATAAATTATTTATCATTTGTCTATAGCTAAAAGGAATTCAGAAAAATGCCAAAAATTTCAAACCGCGAAGCGTCGACCGGTGTCTCATGCGTAAGCGCCCCTCACTAGAACAAGACCCCAAAGCGTTTATTTTTTAAGCTAATGCTAGATTTGAAAAACTATCTAGATCTTGAAACTGACTTTTGATTTTATAGCAAGAATTCACTTATACTTCCCAACACTGGAGCGAAAAGACAGTTTATAACGAAAGCGCCGGGCAAACAGGAATCGATGACTTGACCGAGACAAAAATGCCTTCATACTGGAAGACCAACTTCACTAAGATTTGCCTGGGTATGAGAAGAACTAACACAGGGAATGTCAATTGGATAAAAATCAACATGACGGCAGAATCTTTGTATTCTCTTCTTGCTGATGGTACAGAAAAGACCACTGCACTGGGAAGATCTGCCTGGGAATCCCTGTTCCCTGACCATAAGCTGCAGGTCTATTCTTGTAAGGAAGGATTGAATATAGTTGGTTCTGATGATATAGCCAAGGTTAGGATTGGCTTCATGGCTGATAACTATGTTCGTTGCGGACTTGTTCCCAACTCTTGCATAGGTGTTGGAGTAGAGACTGGTTCACTCTTAGTCCCATGTGGCAGCAGCTGCTCTGCTCGAAACCCATTTTGTCATTCCAAAGCTGCTTCTAACTGCTTCATATTTGTACAGTAACGTTAGATAAACTCCAAACTAACCACTCACGTAAAGGATTATTGGTTAAAACATTCAGCGGACTGCTGACGTCATCACTGAATCATATTACACACGGCATCATAACATCTACCTTTCTATCTAGATTTAATATTCACCAACCTCACAACGAGGTCATGACTGACAAGTACACATGCAGTACGTGGATTGGGCTACCTATATATCAACACTTTTCAGTGATCAGCCGGCACTATTTATTAAGCTAGMTCATTAATAGTCAACCATTACCGTACCTTATTATTATGTAAAATATTAGCCTACTCTAGTAGAGGGGCACCTAAATGTAGTTCTAAGAATAGCGAGGAATGGATTGATTGAAGATACAAATGACTCGTGTATTGTCTTAGTCTA